TCTTAACGGCAGTCCCCTTGGCTGCTTCAACAGCAGCTTCCATATCCGCCTCCATCTCCTTCTTTGTTGGTTTCTCTTTCTTCTTTGCTGACTTCACTGTACCAATCTTTGAAGGGTCCAGCATAATTGTCTCGGGGGGGAGCTTGTCGAGAAGAGAGTGAATTTCCTTCTCTCTTCGTTGTTTAGTTGTTTCAAATGGGTTTGCTAACCATGTGTCGAAGTTGGGTTCCCCTGAACCTGGGATAAGAATTGAAGACCATCCCATGGAGTGCCCTATGCCTAGAACATCTTCGTATGGTCGAAATGCAACTTTCCCTATCTGATAACCTTTCACAATAGAATGACCCATATGTCTGCTGTAATTCCGTGATCCAGAGAAATCTCCAAAAACCTGAACAAACGATCCAGTTCCAGCAGCTAGTAAACCTTTTTGACTGAAGTCCAAGGTTTTTGCATGGCCTCTTATAGTTTGGAGAACCTCAAATTTCCTCACGTCCCAAATCTTAATTTTCTTTTCCTTGCCAGACGTGGCCATGAGATGGCCATCAGGATGAAATGCCATTGCTGTGATAGGCCCAGGATGACACAGCATCTTGACAAGGGGAACCGCACTAGTGGGCTTCCACATGCTTACTGTACCACCTGAATGACCCAAAGCAACAACCCCATTGAAAGGATTGGCCTGCATCACATCAGTACGGCCTAAACCTGTCCGGAAATTGCTTATCATCTCACCCATTGTAACATCTTGGTATCGCAGCTGCCCAAATTTGTTTATTGAAGCCAAGAGAAAGTGGTTTTTCAGAAACTGAAGCCTTGTCACTGCACCATGTTCCTGTAAATAATATAACTTAATCGCATACTCTGCATTTATATAAACATTTGAAATTGTGGAGGGCAACAAAGAATTAAACTTGAAATTTGCGTAAAAAATCAAGTACATAGCAGAGCAGTATAGTGAACCCTGATATTCAAAGGAAGTGTGCTGCCATGCAGGATGGTGTGACCAATCTTGTGATGGTGCAAAGACAGTCAATGCAAGCAAAATAGAGTTCAAGGACTGATTGACAGAAAGCAAGCCCAATTGCTTTGTAATGAAAAGAAAAATCATACCAGTTCATTTAGACACAAGAAATGATACTGCAAAGTTGTGTTATATCAGGTTAAACATTAACTGGGCCTGGCAAAGTTGCTGACATAAAAAAAGCCTCTGCAGCTTAAAGACATAAAATTCATCAAAAGACAATCCACTGACCTTTAAACAATGAAGTTCGACACCATCTCTGTTATAAATGTATGGGTACCTATCATAAATCAAAATTATTAGCTACATACAAAGTATATTAAAATGTTCATTCTTGTTTGGGCAAGTAGTTATAAATTATACATTTTTTTTTCTGGGAAAAAAGCCATACTTTTTCTGGGCAGCGGCAAAGAACAGCTCATTGTGCAAAAACACAACATCACGCACTGTTTCTCTAACCTGAAATAATATAATTAATTAGCACACCATCTAATTTCCGGTCAAGGCCTAAATGGCCTGGTAAAGAAAAATACCAGTAAAACATATCAAATATCGGTGGCATATAAATATCCATTCAAGGCCTAAATATCGTTTATATAATAGGTCTCGTCTAGAACCCAGTTGCATCTCATTAAGCTTGCCAACACCAGGACATACCTGCATCTCTTTAATTAAGCTCATATTCTTCATGTCAACAACAGCCAAGTGCCCCTTGCGACCAGCAGCTGCCATGTATCGACCACTTGAAGTAAAATCCAGAGTGTATGGACCAAAATCTGCACATTTCAGTGAAAATAAAAGGAAGTTTCAGAAGTTTTTTTTCATGACATTAACCTGACAGTCAAGAATGTTAAGAGGATTGGATTTTTTTCTTCTTCAAAATCTGCACAGTTTAATTCCAGGCAAGAATGTTACATAACTGACAGTCAAAGAAAAAGGTTTGGATTTTTTTGTCTTAAAGAAAAAAAAAAGAAGCAAACTTAATTAAGAGGAAATACGGCTCAAGAATTTTACAAACAGAATTTTGTCCTCTTGGAATAACCATAGTTTCAGGATTAATTAGAGTTCGTAAGAAAGACCTAGCACAGCATGGATAAGAAAATATGCAACATTTTCCTGAAAGATATTAAGAAAAGTCGCACTATGATTTCCAGCATTTCTTCTCTCTGCTTGTTCTTTTATGTAATCCAAACTGACATGTGAAATGATGGATTCAAATACTTATGACATGCATTGCTAAGTCATTCACGGAGCCTGGATTCAAATACTTATGACATGCATTGCATTGCTAAGTCATTCACCAAGTGAGCCGGGAAAGTTGCAATGAAGTTGCCTTCATAAACATTCCTGGCTAAAACAATTTTTGATTGTAAACAAACCATTAGAAAGAAATCACATAGCAGACATGAACCTGGCAAGACTATATCATATTGATTCTTTGCGCTTGAGATATCAACTTCACGGCCGATTGTCTCCTGTTTGATCCTCCATGTCTTCTCTATACCCTCAGCCTCGAGATAGCCTCCCTCACTTGGCAAAAGCCACTGATTAAAAGATCACATATTATAAAGTACTGAAATTAAAAATAGAAATGCAGTAGACATGGAACAATAAGAAATTAGTATCTCGGACCACAAATAAAGCATTTGAAGGAACAAAGATATACCCTATTAACATGTAACTCATAAAAGAAATTTGACCAATTAATTTTTCAGAACTAGAGAAGCGAAGAAAAGGAGAGTAATTATCCACCTTTTCAGTCTTGGCTGCAGCTTTTGCAGATTTTCCATATAAATTTTCTCTATCATAAAGTTGACCCTTGAGCTTTTTGTCTTTTAAAACCTGTAGATAGGGAGAATCAAAATCAAAATGCAATAAAAAAAACCCCTCGGAAAAGAAAAGGTTCTTTGACTGGAAATGTTGAACACCAATTTCTGACCTCCAAATCAGCTCCTTCTCCTCTAAGATACTTCTTTACTTTCATATCCAACTCGTGAGATAATTCCTGCAAACAGAAACCGACCACGATCAGTTCCTATAGTCTTAAACAAACATATAAGCAAATAACAGCTATAACAATCAGCAGGTTACAAAAAAGCTAAGCGATTGCATTAAAGCCAACCATTTCAACAATTGAAGCATGGTTATTTTACTGTAAACCAAAGAAACGAATTACTTGTTCAGGAGGAGGCAAAATATCCTCAGGGTCACCATTTTCTTGTTTCGCACCCATCTGTCCACTTAAATTTTATGTTCCAAACCTGCAGAATCAAGACAGCTACCGGTTAACCACTCATTATGCACAGAATACGTATACTGCATAAATAGCCAAAAAATATCATCCAGCAGAATTGCATGAATTCAACATCAAGCAAACATACATTGAATACGCAAACCCATAACTTTCAAGTTAATTAATGCCAAAAAATCATATTAAACGTTACATTTACAAACTTTTGAACGTGAAAGCAAGAAAAACCACAGAATAAAAGCTAGAAAAATAAAACCCAGATGAGCTAAACACAACTAATTGGATTACCATTTCAAATTTTCTCAAAAAACAAACAAAAAGGTACATCAAAAGTTAAACAGAGATATCAATACTGGCCCAGGAAATAAAATTTATGTGCACAACTAGTAACACGCCATTACACAAAACCAAGCTAGAGTAAACAGGTATAAAACAACCCAGTACACAGACAAGTTAACGAAGAAACTGTTTCTAGGGTTGGTGTTGATACCTGTGAATGTTATAGTGCACTTTAAGAAGCAGCAGACTACTTGGAGGAGAGATGCTTTTAGGGTTTTTGGTAAAACAAGGAAAAAGGCAATATCTTTATGCATGCAGTTCAATATTACTTTCTTGCTGGACGCAAGTTTGACGAAAATTGTAGTAACCGTCTGTGCCTGAGTTAAAACTTGATCCGCTGTCCTGGAGGTTTTTAGGGTTTTGCAGTTTCAGTTTGGCCGGCTTGTGGAATTGGTAGGAAATGAAAGAAAATAGAGTTGGGCTTTTATTCAATATTATGGGCCTTTTATTGGGCTTTCTATTGTTCTTTCTTGGGCTCCCTGTACCTTTTATCCACCTACCTGCCCAGTACCAAAGGGAGCCCAGCCCTCTTTATCTTTAGACGGTTTTTTTTTTTTTTATCGATTAATTTTTTAAAGAAATTGACTTTAACGTTTTTTTATTCGTTAATAGGACTCCGGCTTGAGATCCTCTGGGGAGGAGGGGAAGGTACACACGATTCAATGAGGCATTTGATTTAAGATTCAACCCTAACTTATTTTATTACGATTTTTAAGGAAGCTTGGAGAATTAAGAGGAACAATTAATTACCAGAAAGAAAATAGGTGGGGCATTTTATAAACTGGGTTTCTATCACGTTATTCAATTATTTTATATTATTTATAATTTTACGTAGTTAGTAGATCGTAAAATATGGAAAATGAAACTAGCCTGTTTTTAAGATAAAGTTTTTTTTTTTTAAAAAAGAAAATGATGTTTTCTCTTTTTTTTTTAGATTAACGTGGATGACGTGGATGTCCGGGTCAGCTTGCGCGCACCACGACTAATCCCACGGGCCCTGAAGTTAGCGACCATGTAAACCTTCAGTGGCCATCATATGAGCAACTAAGGACTCAAACCTGAGACCATAGAGGGAGCCAACCCCTTAATCCCAAGTCTTTACCAATTGGCTACCACCTAGATGGTTAAATGATGTTTTCTCTTGATTGGATATAAGGTGGGATTTTCATGCTAAGGGAGCCCAGCCCTCTTTATCTTTAGAGGGTTTTTTTTTATCGATTATTTTTTTAAAGAAATTGACTTCAACGTTTTTTTATCGTTAATAGGACTCCGGCTTGAGATCCTCTGGGGAGGAGGGGAAGGTACACACGATTCAATGAGGCATTTGATGTAAGATTCAACCCTAACTTATTTTATTACGATTTTTAAGGAAGCTTGGAGAATTAAGAGGAACAATTAATTACCAGAAAGAAAATAGGTGGGGCATTTTATAAACTGGGTTTCTATCACGTTATTCAATTATTTTATATTATTTATAATTTTACGTAGTTAGTAGATTGTAAAATATGGAAAATGATACTAGCCTATTTTTAAGATAAAGTTTTTTTTTTAAAAAAAGAAAATGATGTTTTCCCTTGATTAGATATAAGGTGGAATTTTCATGTTGGAATTCGTTTGCTGGTGTGGTGAATTTAATCTGTGTTTTATTTTAATTATAATTTTTAAAAATACTTTGTCAATTAATACATCATATAGACTTGCATGAGTTATACTAAAAAGTCTACTGAAATTTTAATTGGAAAAAAATTGTAATTTATTTTTGAAAATTATGATTGCAAAAGCTACTACAATGCCAAGTTAGTATTTTATACACACACTTATTAAAAATATAATAGTTAATTGGAGTTTTCTTTACATGTATGTATGCTGGTTATTTAATTTGTGTTCCATCACGAACTGTAATTTTTTTATTAGAAAAATATTGTATATAAAAGTTATAATAGTGTATTTTTTAAATGAAAGAAATTTAAAGTATAAATCAAAATGTATATACAAATATCTAATTAAATGCATCAGTAATAATTTATATAATCAAACCAAAAAAAATATCAACAATAACTAAATAAAAAAATAAAAAATAAAAAATGAATGTAAATTAAGAAATTCAACTATGTAAATTAAAAAATTTAATCTTAAAAAATTCTCAAAAATATTTTTACTTATACCAATAAAAGATATAATATAACTAATGACAAGAGCCCTCCGTAGAAAATCGACAAAAACATTTTTCTTTTTTATTTATATGTGGTATCCGGGTCAGTTTGAACGCACCACGACTAATCTCCACGGCTCACTGAATACCTTGCAAATCTAGTAGGTATGTAAAGCACTGCGAGAGTGATAAACGTATATGCCAGGGCTCGAAGTCAAGTATAGTGAAAGAAAACAATACCCTTCCACTACTATGTCAAGCATCTGCAACAAAACATTTTTTATAAGTACGATCGAAATATCATGAATGACTTGTCTCAGCACTCACCAAAAACAAACTTCTGGTTACATTGGACGCATTTTATTGTACTTTAGAACATTGTAGCATATGAAAAATAAAATGCAACCAACAATGCCAAATTCGCTCTGAAAAAACATACCTTTGCTGCGGCATTTTAACAGAATATCCGCCACCACCAAGAGAAAAAAATCCACCAGCACAGCGTTGACATTTCAGTTGTCATTCTGGATTTTCCCATTTCTACTGTCCTACCATTATGAACGTGTAGGGCAGGTTCCACAGGGAAGAAAGGAAAAAAAAAAACCATATAAAGCAGCACCAACACTCTTGTACATGACGCTTCAATTGTTTGTGCCTTGCAGAACTCAAAATATTGTCCAGTTTGACCGGGTTTTCCTCAGGTTTGTGACCTTGTTCTTCCAATACAGGGTCATGCAGGGAACTGTAACATGCGGGTCATGGATCCGGAGACCCGAGAACTTGAATCTTGTTGTGCTTGGCAAGTCATCGAGGAAGAGAGAGTCTGCGTCTCGGTCTGTGCTTGAGATCTTCTCTTTTGATCCCCAAACATCTTCTCTTTCAAACTCTCCTCAGGTTTGTTCCTCTAATACTGTCAAAGATGGTTAATGGAGACCCTTTTCGGTTTTTCAAATTTTGGGCATTAATGGACTCGTTTCAATGAAAAACTAATCGGGGTAGGATTTTGTAAAATGGGTTCTTTGGGAGGTTTGATTAATGTTTTTTTTCTCTTTGATTGATGGGTTTTGTTTAGGTAACTTACGTGTTTGAAGAGACAGAAGGTGAACCAGTGACAATTGCAGTGCATCCAAGTGGAGATGATTTTGTGTGTTCTACAAGTAAAGGTGGATGCAAGTGAGTTTCTTGGTTAATAAATTTTCAAACTTTATGAACACTACATTAATATGGAAGAATACTTTTAAGAGAAATTATGGTTCTGCTGCTTTATTTTTATTTTTTTCTGACATTCAAAAGATTTACATGAAGCTAAGAAGGCTCATTTGAATTCCCTAATTTATTGGAAAGATAGTTTATTTTTAGTTGAATGAGTTCAAAGAGATGCTAGTGTGTGAATTGAATGTGTTTTTGGCTGCTGAACAAGTTTTGTAACGTGGGGTTGGTTTGTGTTGTGGCTTACAGATTACTTGAGTTGTCTGGTCAAGAAACAAATTTAAAGTTGTTAGCCAAAGAATTACCTCCTCTCCAAGATGCTGGTCCGCAGAACTGCATGGCTTTTAGTGTTGATGGGTCTAAATTTGCCACTGGTGGGGTGGTAAGCAATAAATTCGTGACTTGAACTATGATTATCACTGGCTTGCTTTTGCATGTGTTCCAAATGTCTGTATATATAGCTGATAGGCAGTACGGTGTCTTATATTGTTCAATTACAGGATGGGCTTGTAAGAATTTTGAAGTGGCCGAGTTTGCTCATCATTTTGGACGAAGCAAAAGCGCACAATTCTGTCAGGGATATGGATTTTAGGTCAGTGTTTCTTTTCCACTCATGTCCTGTGTAATAACTTTGTTTTTGAAGGTTTTATAGAAAATTTGATGGGGCAATAAAGGTTTTTTTTTTTTTTTGTCAATCCTAGTTGCTGAATTGTATCCCTTTGTTTGTCTATCATATTCTAGCCTGGATTCAGAGTTCCTAGCTTCAACATCAACTGATGGGGCAGCAAGAATATGGAAAGCAGAAGATGGTTTAGCTGTGGCTACTTTGACTCGCAACTCAGTATGTTTTATTTATTCTAGGGATTTGTGATGGTGTGCTTCAGATTTTGGTTGTACCTTGTTGCCAAAATGGTTCTATATTTGTCTGCAGGATGAAAAGATTGAATTGTGCCGATTCTCCAAGGATGGGACGAAACCATTTTTATTTTGTGCTGTGCAGAAAGGTATAGTCATTTGTTGTTAGGAGTAACAATATAGCTTATCATTATCTTTAGTCATTCATTCTAAACTTTATGAATATCATTGATTCAGGTGACAAAGCTGTCACTTCAGTTTATGATATAAGTACATGGAAAAAGATTGGGTATAAGAGGCTACTTAGAAAGCCTGCTGCCATAATGTCTATCAGCCTGGACGGGAAATATCTTGCTCTGTAAGCACTTGCCATTTACCCATTTACCCATTGGACATTTGCAATCAGTTATCTTGGCTTCTGCAGTAACTGAACTCATTTACTATTATCCTCGTTTATCATTTAGAGGTCACGAGTCAATTTCATTTTATATTTTTTCACTTCTTGAGTCTTGAATCTGCTAGTAGTCACCAAATACCTTCTCTCATCATTGTGAAATGGTTTTACTGTGCAAAAACTCGTTCTCGTAGCAAAATAGACTGTTCAAATATGTTTAGGATAGGAGTGGAAAGATGTCTTAGAAGTCCCACTCTCTCAATGACTTTGAGAAAGCTATCTAGTAAATCTGCAGGAACGTGGGAGCATAGTTTGCTTGCAAAACTGTGAGAACCAAGTATTAACATGCTGTTTTTTCAATTATAGAGGAAGCAAAGATGGAGATGTCTGTGTAGCAGAAGTAAAGACAATGGAGGTTTCCCACTTGAGTAGGAGGCTGCACCTGGGTACATGCATTACATCTCTGGAGTTCTGTCCCAGTCAAAGGTAAGGCTCATCGACTCTTTTTGCTCAGTGATTAGAGATGAATAATTTAATAGTACAAGGACCCTTTAAATGCCTCTTCTGGTTCACAAAACTTTAATTTCACCTTGTCTTGATCCTTATTCCTTTAAATATAGTTTTCTTCTTTAGTATCTTTAAAGCACAAGTTTTCCAGTCACCATTTCATGATTCGAATTCGAATGTGATCAGTGATTAACTAAATGCTTAATTTGAAAATTATCACAGATTGATTGATTGAAAATGTTGATTGATGCTACCTGCAACCAATTTCAATCTTTATCATTCTTTCCTACTGGCACTTCATGAGTTGTTCACCTCTGGAGTTTTCTGTGCAGGGTTGTGCTTACTACTTCCAATGAATGGGGAGCAGTGGTAACTAAGTTGAATGTTCCTGCAGATTGGAAAGGTCTCACTCTCCCTCTTCACTTGCACATATTTACATATGTTAGATTTACGTATCCCCAAGTAAAGAGCCTGATTCTCCCTCCATTGCACGTGCAGAGTGGCAGATTTATTTGGTTCTCGTAGGACTATTCCTGGCGTCTGCTGTTGCATTTTACATTTTCTTTCAAAAATCTGATTCATTTTGGAAATTTCCACTCGGAAGAGATCAGCCTGGAAGGCCGAAGTTTGAAATTTTGGATCCTCAGTACTCTGAAGATGCATTTGGGCCTCTAGATATGTGAAATTTTTTTAGCACGATGACCAGAAGGCAAAATAAGCAGTGTCATTCTCAAGGTGTTTAAGATTCTTCATTTGATGCATTGTAACATCCAGTTTGAGTATATTTTAAGAAAAAGTAGCAGAGTAGGTTGCTTCTCTGTTTTCTTTTTGTTTCTTTTTTCTTCTCCCCTTGTTAATTGAATAATGTAAACTCACAGATTTTGAAACAGGAAAAGAAAACTGAGTCTTGTTTTTGGACATCCAAATGTTTTGTTGAAATAATAAAATTTCATATTTCAATTTCAAAGTGAAAAGCGTTTAACAGAGAAAACAGTTGGAAGGAGGGGGATTGAAGGAGGCTCTGATTTTTGACAATGAAGAAATATCATCTATGAAGAATTTTCAAGCAGATCTTGGTAGTACTTCAGGATCCATCCGTTGATGATCTCGATTTCTATGTTCCTCTGCAAAACTACCCAATCAGGATCACCATTTGTGGCTGGCAGTATGTCCATGCAATGAGCACCTGCACAATAAAAACAACAGATCATTATCTGAGAATAACCTGCTGATAACAAAAGGTATCTAGCCTCCTCGAAGTGCCAAATTCTAACTGGCCTTTAGAATCCTTGGAAATATATAACTGGATTCAGAACTGGAAACATGAATTAAATTACCTTTAGTTGTATACACTGCCAATATGCTATCTGATATGTTTTCCAGCACCCTACATGATTACAGAAGAACAAACATATGACTTACGTTGCCAATATGCCAGAGTAAAGGCTTGAAAGATTCACAACATTTTGTTTCTGTAAGAACATCAAAGGTAGATTTATCACCCTCCACTGCTATAAGGGTCACGGAGGCCATTGGAGAAGATAATGTTGCTACCAAACCTCCTGAGAACCTCTTTAAAATGCTGCAATTTCACATTCAAAAGGGAGAAAAAAAGAAGGGAGCTCATATCTGCTTCTAAATTGCAACTATGAACATGCATAGATGCACTGGAATTTCACACAGAAGTTTGAACAACAGACATACATGACCGCCATAATAAGTCGTTATCCAATGAGGCCTAGGGGGGAGTCCAAATGCGCTTTTGCATTCTTCAATGTACCCCTTCAGATCAAATGGCTCTGCTGGAAACATAGTAATTCTTTTTTTTATAGTTAAATAAGATGTGTAATTTGTGGATTTTTGCAATTCAGTGTATAAACATTTATTTTCTTCAAATATTTGTATCAATCCTTAAGACTATAACAATAAAGTAAACTTTGGAGCGGTGACAAAGACGACTTATGAAAAGGTATTATTGTAGTTATAAGGTCGGCATGCATGGCATGGATATCGAGGGATGGCGAGGCAGATGAGTGGTATCGTGGCATTGATGACGAAGGAGAACACTTTTGGAGAGAAATTTCTCTCTCTTTATTATTTTTACTTTTTCTTTGAGACGTAGAATTTTTTTTAAAAAACCCCTGCGTTTTAGTTAATTTTTTATATTTAATAAAAATAAAAAAGGAAGTTTCTCTTTTAAATTTGCCACATCATCTGTTAATAATACCATGTCATACATGACATCTCATCAAAGTTTTCAAGTCATACCTGGTACATATTAAAAAAACACACACTTATTATCTATTATGTTACTATTTTTTTTTTAATTTAAATAAATGTGTATTAAAATCTCTCTCAGCATATTAAATGAGATTAAACATGTGTTTCTGATCAATTAGGGCTATTTATATCAATATTAAAAAAAAATTACTCTTTAGAATAATTAATTTTTTAAGTATCAAAACTAAATTTATATAAATATTGTCATTGGAATTGATTTACAACAAATCTATTACTGATTTATCTATTTCACATTCACTCGAGACTTTTTGGCATAAATAGGCTATAAGCTGACCCAATTAGATCCTATCTTGGTTACATCAAAATTATCGTATCTAGCAGGTTCAATGTATGTTTATTGTTGTTTTGAAAATATATTAAAATAATTTTTATTTTTGATATTAATATATTAAATTATTAAAAAATCTTAACTTGATATTTTTTAAAACTAAATACATTTTTAAAATACATCCTAACACAATTTTAAATATAAAAATAAATATGTTAAGATATTGTCAATGAATGTTTTTGCTTTTACTATTAAGGAAATATTTTGATTTTTTTTGTTTTAAATTATTTTTAAATAAAATATGTTAATATCTAACAAAATATTATTTTATTATATTTTTAAAAATATATTTTTAAAAGCAACGAACAGAAGAAGTTCAAACTCTATACATATCTCGATGCAGAAAAAAAATCTAATGGCATTCTGGAGAATCTTCCAAAAGGCGATCCCCTTTGCAAGCCCAAACAGTACAGGTTGATAGTGCATTTAGTCTCTCTATTCTCAATTTTGTCTCATTTTAATCCCTTTATTATTTCTTTTACTCTAATATCATCCCCATCACTTTATTATATACTAAAATATAATGACCTTCAAATATCATCAATTATGAGGTTATTACGTATCATTTTTATTTTTTTTAAAAAAATTAAAACAAAAAAAAAATAGAATTCTCAATTATAAAATATGATTTCTTTCTATCTTATTAGTATTGTTAATGTATGATATTTGACACCATGTTATGTTGTCAAACATTAAAGTTAATATGAAAAGTTATTAAATCAACTTAAACTAATTATTTTTTATTAGATATTATTTTATTTTGTAAAAAAATTCTTGTTGCTAGACTAATTAGATTTGGGTCACGTTTGAAGTCAATAAAGTTTGACCAAATCATTGTTTTTTCCGTTTCAATTTGAAACATTGTAAGTCAAGTTTAAGTCTCCATGCAACAAATAGAAAAGGTCCAAATAATTACGAAATAAAAGGTTTGGAAGATGAGCTTGAGATAAAATATACTACAAGGTTCAAAATAAAATAAAATAAAAATCAAGGGGATCAAACACACAATTAAGCCCACCATGAGCTATAAAAGTTACTATCAAGTACCAACTCAGATTCAGGAAGTCCACTCTCACTTCACTCTCTCTTCACTCTCTCAGATTTTTTTATCTCGTTCGTCTCCTTCTTCAAATGAATTGCCTTCACCATCTTCCAAGGTCTGCCTAACTATATAACATGTAAAAGTATCTTTCCTTTCTTTTTTTTCGTTTTCTTACTTTCTTTAATTTCACTCGTCAATGTCTTGTTTGAATGGCAGATCATCCTCTGCTTTGCCTCTGCAAGGCTTCAACCTTCACCACAGAAGACCTTCTTCTCTGTCGTTATTCTCTTTTAACATGGCAGTACGTTCATCCCTTTACACATAATCTGTGTTCTGTTTTTTTTTTTCTTGTAGTATATCATTTTGTTGGTGCAGGGAACCATGGATTATCATGATCTGCAGTTACGTGTAGCTGTGAAGGTAACTTAAAAGCAGCTTGAGATTCGATCCTTTTGTTTTGTTTTGTCAAGTTGAAGCTTCTAATCTTGTTGCTCTGCTTTAATGTTTGCTATGTATTGTTATTCGTTCTGTTTTGATTACCGCAACTCTCTTTTTGGTTCTTTTTCTTTAAATATTTGATCGTTAGAAATTCAGAATAACATGATACTAGTTTTAACGAAAACCTTTCTTGAAATCACTTGGTGAAGAGTCTCAGCCATTAGATTTGTGGGTTTCACTAGCCGGATCCACCAGGAGATTTTCAGGGATTATATATATATATATATATATATATATATAAGAATTCACTAGTGATATTAGATATTTTGGAGTTTTAAGGGGTTTTTTGGTGTGTTAAGAAGATATTTTTTTTAAATTAGATATTCTGGAATATTCCTTACCTTCTTCTTTATTTTTTGTTATACCCTGTAAAGTTTGGATTTTTTCATGATATGATTTTTTTTAATTGGGATGTTGAATAATTTCTTTTGCAAATTGGAGTGATCCCACGAATCCAGGGCTGGGAAATGAGTCATGTTAGCATTTTCGCCGTGTATGTGGTTTGGAAGCAAAAAATTAATATAAAAACGAAATCGGTGGAGAGTGGTTTTGATGATAATTGATTAATTTGGGTGATCATAATGGTTGCTTGTTTGTTTCTGATAATTAATTTGATCCTATTAGTGGCTCTACTGCTTTACTATGTTGAATTTTGAAGTTCAAATCTTCTAATAGAAGCTTGTTATTTGAATTTGTTCTGTAGGCAGCTCCTGGCTCGCCATCTAGTGCTGAGATGAGTGGCAATGACGTTGAGGAAGAAGAAGAAGAAAAATCTGAGATATATAGTCATAACATGACTGAAGCTATGGGGGCTGGTGAGTTCGATAGTGCTTGTAGTTCCATGTTAGGGGTGGGGAATTGGTGGGTATGACCTGTTCGGTTGGAGTGGCATGTGTAACTGTTTGAATTTTTGAAGTGTTTGCTAGTTACTGTTGATTCTTGATTAATGAAATATTAATGTGTCATTGATCTATAAGTGCAGCTAATTGTTTGTTCTAATATATTTTTAGTACAGTTTTGACTTATAGGCACGAACTAGGAATGAACTATAACTTCATTCGTCCAGATTTGATTGTCGGATCATGCCTACAGGTGATTCTCATTTGTTAGATTCATGTATGAGGGATTCTTTCCCCTCTTACACTGATTTTTATTTTATTTTTGTTTCTCATATGGTTTTCTAATTTTTTTTTCAAATTTCTAGACTCCTGAAGATGTTGACAAGCTTCGAAAAATTGGGGTCAAAACTGTGTTTTGCTTACAACAGGATCCAGACTTGGAGTATCCTAAATAACTCTTGTCTTCATGATCTGCTGAAAGCATAATTTTTATTTCTTAAATGCTCTTATATATATGGTCATCAGTTATCATTTATGCAACTGTTGTGCATTTGAGATCTAAAAAGAAGAAGCGTATGAAACATACTGCAATTCTTTTACCACCATTTCAGATATTTCGGGGTAGATATCAGTGCCATTCGAGACTATGCGAAGGCATGTGGTGACATTCAGCATGTGCGTGCACAGATAAGGTTAGACATAGCAAATCCAAGGTTTCTAATTTACAAAACGAGAACAAATAAACAATTGGAAAAAGAAATCTGTTAGTTAACATCTGACTACCTTTTGCATTGAAACTAGTTTCTAATGCCAAAAGAATAAAAAATAAAAACTGTGGAGAATGTACATAGTATTATTTTGGACTGCTATACGATCACATTCTACACTGGAACTTCATTTTTGTTAGAAGACGTTAATTAACTTTCTAAGCTAGAACTCACTTGTACTAGTGCAAACTAGCTCTTCTGAGCACTTTCTGTACCAATTGAATTTCACCCCACTTCACATTTACTGTTTGTAAGAGCACAAAGGATGTGTGTTGAATGTGCATCTGTGTCTACTGTCTATGATCATTTATGTTGCTATTCTTCATTTGATACAGCAGCTAATATTAATGTAACAGGGATTTTGATGCATTTGATTTACGGATACAGCTACCAGCTGTTGTCAGCAAATTACACAAAACCATAAACCAGAATGGAGGTGTGACATATATACATTGCACTGCAGGACTGGGAAGAGCACCTGCTGTTGCGGTAGCATTTGATCTTATTCTGCTTAATTTTTCGTTTGACACCTTATGATTTGTTGCTATGCACCACTGTTTTGTTTGGCTCTGTCATTTATCATGAATGAGGGAAATGCCCCTGCATCACCACCTCCACCTCTCTGAGGAAGCATTTTTTCATGGTTTTCCTTGTCTTTTTTTGAGGTGCTATGTTTGGTTTCTTCAAATTCCACACATTTCATGCTGATAATTTTTTTATATCTCCTTACCAATAAACTAAGAGTTTTCAATGAATCACAGCTGGCATACATGTTCTGGGTTCAGGGCTACAAGCTTAATGAAGCTCACGATTTGCTTATGGTAATATTGGATTTGATTCCTTTCTCCTGTCTTTACCATAAATGAAACTCATATGTATTGATAATGTTTTCTGACTCCAAACCTGTCAGGTTTGAAAATAAAACTCATATGTATTGATAATGTTTTCTGGGAAAACATTATTAAAGATCCATGGCTCCAAACCTGTCAGGTTTGAAAATAAATATCATTAAGATGTTAATGATTTGTCTATGTAATTTAATTTTCTGACTTCGAGAAATTGTAGGGGTCAAGTTCATGGAACTGTGCATTTAGTGTATAACTATATACGTTGGTGACTTTGCAGTTTGCATTATGAGGCACATGGTTACAGGATGCAGAGCATCATCCTTTTTTCTTATGTCAAATTGTAAGCTAGCCGGTATAAATGAAGGGGTCGACGTTGGTAGTGGCAGCTTATTTAGGGATACAAATTGCCTTCCATTCTACTTTTCTAGCTTTGTAATCAACAAATCGGTTTATATTCCTTCCAGCAATAGATTTTGAACCTATACTGTAGACTATAACTGGATTGACTTTCAAGCAGTTTCTAGTGCTAGCATAGACAGGCTTGATGCTTGATGGAGGCCATTATGTATACTGGGATTCAATGTTGAAATCATGCAATAGTAATTTGCGATTTACTTGGTTCATGACAGATATGGCTGCAGTTTAAAATAGCTGAGTAGTTTCTTTTTTTGGTAATTGAGAATTTGGCTAGACTGACCTTCAGGGAGTCGAAGCTGGAACCTCTCCCTTAAAGGAGTATTGCTATCAGTGGGGCTAGTGCTGTATTGGTAGCTGATTAGTGTTTTCATAGTATCTCGTCGTTTCTTGTCTTGCAGAGTAAACGCTCGAGCTTCCCAAAATTGAATGCTATCAAAAGTGCAACTGCTGATATAGTGAGTCATTTTTCTTTTGTGTAACATATATTCATGGTCGCTCACGGAGCCTTGACTATATGTTTCTTTCTGCATGTTGATTTTTATCTTTTTTACTTAAGTCTTCTTTTTTTTTTAACAACTCCCATGTTTAGATGCTGAATTCTGTGAATATGAAAATTTTAAGCTTGCACATATAGAAGGATGCTTCCTGACATGCAATGCGATTTTTCAGTCTATCAACTGTTCGAACTACCCATAATCTAAAAGTTGCAGCCAAGATTAACGAGTAGCTCCAGCTCATAAACTTATTCCTCAAGAGTTCCTTCTTGTGGGGTAGATAAATGAGTTTGTTGAGAATCAATGAAAAAATAAGGGATGGTTGTAGTGGCCTAGGCTCTTCATTCAATCACAAAATGAATATATTTTGCCTTTTGTTTTTGAATATTGACAGATTACTGCAAACTATTTTTTTTTCCTTGTTTGAAGCTAACAGGCCTTAGAAAAAAGCTTGTCACTTTGAAATGGGAAGACAATAATTATTCTTCAGTGGAAGTTTCTGGGCTTGACATTGGATGGGGCCAGGTATGTGATGTAAAAGCTTACATTAGTTTTTGCATTATGTTTAAGCCGTTCAAACATTTTTACCTATTCATATTTATTTCTCTTTCTTTCTCCAGAGGATACCTTTAGAATTAGACGAGGAGAGAAAGTTTTGGGTTCTCAAGAGGGAATTGATGGTAAGTTTTTTTCTCTCCTTGGTGATACAGATAAATGCAGGTGCCAACTTTAACTACTCGAGGAAATTTTTGTATTTTTTTTCCCCCTTCCTTCCTTGCCTGCATGCCTTTATGTCTCAAGTTTTTTGTCAAAAACATTTCTTGCATTTTTCTTGGCATCTGGCAGCACATAATTTCTTGATTGGATTGCAATACATATCGAATCACACCTGTGCTATGAGCCAGTGCCCCCCCACCTCTTGGTCCCAGGCCCTAATATTTGTTAATCTAGAGTGTTCATTTCTTCAAAAACTTAAAATGTAGGCTACCTTTAGAGATAAATTGCTACTAGCTTTAAAGATTCCTTGAAACCAGCCCAGAATTGACAGGGAAGGATCCCTTCCATTCTAACTGTCAGGTATTGCTTTACCACAGCTAGTTGCAGAAATGGGTGCGAATACAATAAGTATATTTCAAATTAAAACCGGAATTTTGTAACAATTCTTGCTTTAACAGGAGGGAGTCTACGAGTACAAGTACATTGTTGATGGTGAGTGGACCGTCAACAAATATGAGCTAGTTACCACTGTCAACGGAGATGGCCATATCAACAATTATGTTCAAGTAAGTTTCATCTCTCCAGATTTTATTTTATTTTTCATTTTATTGCTATCATCTCCTTTTGCTTGGGAGAAAAATTTATGGTTGTCAAATCCAACCCGGAGTCTAGCCCAGTCTAAGGCCCAGGTAACTGGGTCAACTTGCAGGGTTACCAGGTCATTCCCGAAATGATGTCGTTTTAGAAAAAAAATTTATATAAAAAATTAAGTACTTGGAGTTGAGGAATCATCTAGGTTTGGTTGGATCAAGTGAGCGCGGTTCAATCCGCTATGTCACCTAGGTTTGGCCCCAGTCAATATCCTAAACAGTTCAAAATGAAAACCGGGCTGGGTTAGGTTATAGGTTGGTGAGTCACCAGGTCAATCTGCTGAGCTGACCTGGTCTAATAACAGTGAAAAATGGGAAAGGGGGCTCAACACCTTGATGAGTGTGAAATGTGGAAGTGTAAATATTAATTGATGACAATTTAGTTGATAAAGATTCCTTACTGTGAGTGAGTCTATGATATCATTCATGGCAACCTTCAAACAATTTTCTCATGGTGCTCTTCTCTATTACTTTCCAGGTTCTTGACGATGATGCAGACAGTGCTAACGCTGTACTGAGAAAGAGATTAACCAGTGATGACCTTTGGAGAAATTATTGTTCAATACTTTCATGACATGATTATATGTTATTTTGTGCCTTAATTCGTGCAAGGCTCCCCAGGCTATGCCGTTTTTTCATTGCATCAATCAATTAGTGCCTGAATATAAAATGGTAATTGAGTAATCAGTATAAGGATTAAGGAAATTAAATTGTGTTTATGTTTGGTTAGTGTTTTGGAATATAAAGAATAAAAATAAAAATTGAGTTAGAGGGACAATTTGGAGAAATTATTGTTCAATACTTTCACGACATGATTATATGTTATTTTGTGCCTTCATTCGTGCAAGGCTCCCCAGGCTATTCCGTTTTTTCATTGCATCAATCAATTAGAGCCTGAATGTAAAATGGTAATTGAGTAATCAGTATAAGGATTAAGGAAATTAAATTGTGTTTATGTTTGGTTAGTGTTTTGGAATATAAAGAATAAAAATAAAAATTGAGTTAGAGGGACAAGTACAGGAATATAAAATAAATTGATGTTTTAAATAAATTTTTATTTTTTTAAATATAAATGATATAACTTTTATTTGAACTTTTTATTTGTTTCGAGAGGACACCATCTTCTATTAAGAAAATTTAAGGGTTCCCCTGGACTGTTACATTATTATTATTATTATTATTATTATTATTGTACCAATAAATTGTTGCGTGGTTGTCAAATGGCAATGGAGTAATCAATACATGAACCTTACATCAGACTCTTAACAATTAAAGTAACGGGAAGGAAGATAGGGTGAGACTGACAGATCTGACTGTTACATTATTATTATTATTATTATTGTACCAAAAAATTGGTGCCTGGTTTATTATTATTATTATTATTATTATTGTACCAATAAATTGTTGCGTGGTTGTCAAATGGCAATGGAGTAATCAATACATGAACCTTGACATCAGACTCTAACATTTAAAGTAATGGGAAGGAAGATAGGGTACATGTATATTGAGAAGATTGCATATGCTATGGAAAATCCAAGGGGGTTTTGGTGAGACAAGGACATCCAAATCTTGAAGCAACCGTTGAAAAGGTAGCAGAGTGGGTGAGACTGACAGATCTGGCAATGGAATATTATTTTCCGGTGTGGCTAGTATGGTCATAAATAAAAGTCTATCCATATGCACATCACCATTCTTCGGCGAGGGAAGGGAATGTTATGGACGCAGATGTTTCTGTTATAGATGATAAAGTTCCAGAAAAAAAAAGATAGGGTGAGACTGACAGATCTGGCAATGGAATATTACGATAATTCTGTGTTGTGAAAAATTGAAAACCATATTGGTAATTACACCATACTGGCACTCATGATAATAAGTTAATAACACCATAATCTGTGCAGAGGCAGACCTTGCCAAGCCATTGCTGGCAATATTCAAACTAAGAAGGCGGGTACATCGTACTACGTATAAAGGTCTTCATCTGGTATGTTGCCGGTGTGGCTAGTATGGTCATAAATAAAAGTCTATCCATATGCACATCACCATTCTTCGGCGAGGGAAGGGAATGTTATGGACGCAGATGTTTCTGTTATAGATGATAAAGTTCCAGAAAAAAAAATAGAACCATCAACATGCATGGAGTATCGATCGGAGGGGGGGGGTTTATTCGGCCCGGACCATCAACATGCATGGAGTATCGATCGGAGGTGGTGGATTCATCCGGCCAGTGGATGTTTGCAAAAAAGCCAATGAGACAATTACGCAAGAATACTGAAGTCAAGGAGTTGGTGATGCCAAACGTGTCAAGCCAGAGATCACGGTTGCCTTGCAAAAGACGACTGACTAGGGAAGCTACGTTGATTACGGGATCTCGATTTAATTTGTTACCAGATTCACATGTGGAAACTAAAGCAGGCGAGTTGGGTAGTGACAAGATTTGTGGAATTGAGCCTGATGTGAGTAAGGAAACAAGCAACAAAGGCAAAGCTGTGGTGGATGAGACAGAATCAGAAAAGATAATTATTGTCAAGAGAGGGCTAGGACGTAGCATGCAGGGCACTAGGAAGGATGTTAGTCTGGGACCTCAGGCCCAAAGTAGCAGAAGAGGGCCCATGAAATGAAAGGTGGTGGAAAACAGTAAGGAACATATTCTGTCTTTAAATTCAAGCAGCCGAAGACAAAAGCAGCCCAATCTAGGTTCCATAGAGGTTACATAGAGGTGAAGGGAGATAATCGGTGGGTGACTGTGTAAGACCCAGATCTAGAAGCACAATTTTCATCAGGTGCCACGTCCTTCATAGGAAGATGTAATAGTAGAGAAAAAAGGTTGTAGCGTTCCAGTTGAGGAAGAGCATATGAATGAAGGATTCTTAAGAAAAGATACCATCATTATAGAACGGGAGGAGTTAACAGCTTAATCTATGAAGATGGTCTTTAGGGAGTTCCACTTCATTCGTTTGATTATAATGAACATGTTTAAGTGGAATTGTAGAGGGGCTGGAAGTAACCGATTTTGCTCTATAGTGTATGACTTTAGGAAAGCCTACGGGATAGAAATCATGACATTCATTGAACCAAGAATAAGTGGCAGGGCTGCAGGGAAAGTGATTGACAAGTTGAATTTTGATTCAAACTTCAAGGTGGAGGCGGAAGGAAAGTTTGGAGGTATCTGGTTATTATGGAACAAAGGCGGCGTGGATTTAAGAGTGTCGAATTCATCCAAGCACTTGGTCCATGTTTTAGTAGATAAGGGAGGAGGTTCTCCATGGCTATGTACGGTAGTTTCTGTTAACCTGAAGCGTAATTCATCCAAGCACTTGGTCCATGTTTTGAGGGAGGAGGTTCTCCATGGCTATATATGGTAGTTTATGTTTACCTGAAGCTTCAGTTAAAACGTGAATGTCTTGAAGAGATTAAAACAATGGGGCAACATCTAACTTTGCCTTGGATGGTTATCGGTGATTTTAACAAGATACTAACGGCTGCAGAAAAGATGGAAGGCACACGTGTTGATATGAGAAAATGTCTGAGATTCAATAGATGGATTCAGGATTGTGGTTTGCTGGACTTAAGAAGTGTTGGTTCAAAATTCACATGGCGCGAACATGAGAGCAGAGGTTATGGAAGAGTGCATGGAAGGTTGGATAGAGGGCCAGGTAATCAACTATGTAGATTGCAATTTCCAGCCATGTATGTTAGGGTCTTGCCCAGGGTAAAATCTGATCATCATCCTACTTTTGTTGAGCTCAACTCCAGGGACATGCATACACTTAAACACTGTCGCCCTTTTAAATTTGAAGCGGCATGGACGTCTCACGATAGTTTTACTAAAGTAATAAAAAAATTGCTAGCAGGGGAGTGAGGATCTAGTTGCTGAACTTGAAAGGTTGACAACAACGTTGCAAGAGTGAAACAGGAAGTTTTTGGCAATATCTTCTATCGCAAGAAAATAGTGTTGGCCAAGCTTGAGGGCATTCAAAAGGCTTTGTCTGAAGGAGGAAACATTTTCCTGAACAAGTTAAAGAAAGCGTTAACCAATGAGCATAATCAAATTTTAGCTCAAGAAGAAGTCTTTTGGTACCAGATGTCTAGGTGCTAATGGAAGGCACAGCAGTTTGTAGATTCATTGTAAGTATGATGGAAGGCACAACTGGAGTGGCTGATATTGTTTTTTGTGCTTATACCAAAGATGCCAAAGCCGGACTCTGAGTCAATTTCGGCCTATAGGCTTATGCAATGTGAATTTCAAAATCCTTACTAAGGTATTGGTGAATCGACTTAAGCATCTGACATCAGGCTTAGTCTCTGAAAATTGAAGTAGTTTTGTACCAAGTAGACAGATTACAGGCAACATAATGGTGGCTCAGGAGGTCATCCATTATATGAGGAACATGAAAGGGAAGAAGGATTTTATGGCTATCAAAATAGACCTGAAAAAGGCTCATGATCGAATGCGATGGGATTTCATCAGATAAAATTTGATGGATGCAGGTATCCCCTATCAGATGGTTAATCTAACTATGCAGTGTATTGAAACGACATCCCAAAGGGTACCTTGGAATGAGAGTCCTTCTTCAAGCTTCACTCCCTCGAGAGGGATAAGGCAAGGTGACCCCCTCTCCCCATATATTTTTGTGTTATGTCTAGAGCGATTATCTCAGCTCATCAGTAAAGAGGCGGCGGCAGGTTCGTGGAAAGCATTTAAATTTGGCAGGACATGTATAAATGTTTCTCATCTTTGTTTTGGGGATGATATGCTATTGTTTGCGGAAGCGACCAATAGTTAGATAGAACGGATCTTACAATATTTAAGGGTATTCTGTGTTACTTCGGGTCAAAATTTAAGTGTTGGCAAGACCAGGATATTTTTTTCTAAAAATCTCTCTCTTGTGCTGGCAAAATCCATCAGTCGTACTAGTGGTTTATCAGCATCATTGACCTGAGAAAGTATTTGGGGGTTCCTCTCTTACACCAAAGGATTAACAGAAAAGTATTTGGGGGTTCCTCTCTTACACCGAAGGATTAACAGACAAACCTACAGCTATATCATAGAGAAGATGCAGCAGAAGTTGGCTAGCTAGATGGAAAGCTAATAGCCTAACCTTAGCGGAGAGAATTACTTCTGTGTAAATTGTATCCTATGCAATCTTCCTTGCTCCCAAAATCCTCATGCCTAGAGATCAAAAAGATTTGTCGTAGGTTCATTTGGGGAGGGAATGAGGAGAAGGGTAGAGTTCATCTTGTTAACTGGAAGACTCTTTGTCAACCTAAACTGGAAGGTGGGTTGGGTTTAAAGCACATGCACTACATGAACAGAGTGTTTATGATGAAGCTAGGGTGTGGCATCATTCATGTTAAAGATAGTCTTTGGGCCAGGGTGCTGAGGGATAAATACATAAAACAGCATGATTGGATTCCCTAAGTGCAGGCTAGAGGGCGGGATTCTTCTTTGTAGAAGACTATATGTAAAGTATGGCCTCAAGTGATTGCAGGTACAGGCTGGTCTACAGGGAACAATTCTTGTGTAAAATTCTGGAAAGATAATTGGCTTCAGGGTTTTGGACCTTTTAATTAGCCATGTGATACGAGATATTTCTGTGGAATTAATTAATGCAACAATGGCGAGCATGGTTTTGGAGACTCTTTTGCTCATTTCCTTCCTACACGGGTGTTGATGGACATGGCAAGTCACCCCCTCATTCCAGTGAAATAGATAATGACTCGATCTTCTGGGGTCATTCCATAGGTGTTGTGTTTACTGTTTAGTCAACTTAGGATTTACAGCAACATTCAATGAATTAAAAGACAAAGAGAGTTCTTTGCATCCTATCTTGCAACTGATATGCAAGTGGGAGAGGCTCGAAAAGGGTTAAAGCTTTTCTGTGGTTGACTGTTCATAATAGGTTGATGACTAATGATAATAGAAATCACAGGTTCCTAACTGATAATTGTTACTGTCATAATTTTTTGGTGGTCGTGGAAAGTATTCTGCACATGTTGTGTGATTGCCCTCCCGCCTGTATAGTTTGAGAAGCCCTCCTTGAGCATCAGGATAGGCTGGCCTTCTTCAACACATGATTAATACAGTAGGTCATCAATAACCTTGCGTCCAGCAAAGGCACAAAATAAGGTAGGCCTTGGTCAATTATATTTGGAGTTGCAGCATGGAATCTTTGGAAATGGAGAAATGCTAGAATTTTTAGGATGGTAGCTCTATAGGCTATAATCCTACTGGTCTTGTACAGCAGTTTGCTGGCTGAAAATACCCTTCAATGGACTGAATGAAATTAAATGTTAATGGATGCAGTAAAGGCAATCCAGTGTATGTTGTAAAGGGGGGTTTGATTAAAGATACTCTTGGTTCTTGGATTAAAGGATTTGCAATCAACACGGGTATATATTCCTCAATGAGAGCAGACTTGTGGGAAGTGGTTAAGAGGTTAGAGCGAGCTAGTTTGGATGCTGGGAATTTGACGACTATATTGCGGCCAGATTCCATGCTGGCTGTTACACTCATAACACAGGATATTGTTCCAATGGACGTGAATTTTACTTTGATCTCCAAGACAAAGGAATTGCTGAAGAGAAATTGGAAACCCTTTTGATAGAAACAATTGGATCCTTAGTCATCCTCCATCGGGGTTATTTTATCTTTTCTCTGTACGTTCAAAAATATTTTTACATAAATTTAATATTTTTAATTTTTTTAGATTAATTTTTTTAATATTTTTAAATTGATATCAAAAATAATTTTTTAAAAATAAAAAATATTTTTATTTTTTTTTTTAAAATAATCACAACCATATTTTTAAATACCCCTCAGATTCACGTTACTGCATTTAATTTAAGTGTTTTCAATAAATAAATAAAAGTTCATGATGGGTCATGGTCTTATGCTCATTAATGGAAATTAGCCCGCTTTTATCACGTAAGATTCACAACAGGGTAGTGTTGAGAAGGATTATAGAGCTTAAGTGAAACATTGCAGAATATACAGGCACTAAATAAATATTAATGTCAATATGAGAGATTTCTTCTTAACATAAAGTAATTTAATTTTAGTTGACGAACGAGTTAATTTAACAATACTTAGTTAATTTAACATAAAGTAATTTAATTTTAGTTGACGAACGAGTTAATTTAACAATACTTAGTTAATTTAACATAAAGTAATTTAATTTTAGTTGACGAACGAGTTAATTTAACAATACTTATTACTAAAAAAAAAAAAAAAAAAACTAACAGGTAGTTTTTGAAACACAATTTTTTTTTATCTTTTTATAATTAGTTTGTTTTGTATTTTAAAAATACTTTTGAAAAATTAATTTTTTTGATGTTTCCATATTTTTTTTTGACATGTTAACATTAAAAATAAATTTTAAAAAATAAAAAAATATATTATTTTAATACATTTTAAAATAAAAAAATAATTTAAAAAGTAATTACTGTTACAACCTCTTATTTTAAATCCAAAGAATAATATTAATTTTCTTTTGTTCTGGCAATAATTACTATTTATTAAAATCCACCGAATTTAAACAGCACTAAACCTATTTTCCAAAAAACAAAATCAGTACCGAGTGATTGACGAAACTAGTCCGAATCTCAATAAACTCCCAAGTCGAATAACTTTTTGTTAACGCGTTTATGACAACTTTTTCATTGAAAAAACATCCAAAAGGCATGGGATTCAGGTAACCGACCCAGACAAAGCAACGCTGCATGATTCGAGATTGGGGAGCTAACTTGCCGAGCTGTTCTTCCAGCTACCCCACCTGTGCCAGTTTTCAACATGTAAATGGGCCTCCCGAGTGGTGCCTTCCTTCATAATTTTCACTACTTATTTAGCAATTAGCTTCTTTTATATCAATGAGTATTGTCTAGTAAATGAAGGTGGCCCGAGAATTCAGAGCTCAGGGCCTTCATTTATGTGTCCGTCCATGATATTTTAGTGAAAGGACCATCTGCCTAATTTTCTATAGATTCGTTTCGATTTCCTACCTCAGTGATGTTGGGATATTATTAGTTATTTATCTGATTTATTTAAAAAAACTAAAAAACGAAAAATATTTCATTTAGAATC